TTCCTGGTGTAACTCAGCCCAGGGATGCTTTGATGCATCTATTTACTCATCCGAGGCTGTTGCTGCCCTTTCAAATTGTAATTAACTGAAAATTAACATGCAGCTAATGCAGGTAGTGCTGAGCCCCTCCATGTGTGACTCTAAAAATCTTACATTTTTTAGCATTTCAAACGACAACTCGACACCTGCATTTTAAGGGTGGCTCTTGTTGACTTGGAGATTTTTCCCAGGTTTCTAGGATTGCTGGTTTTTAATATCCAAAGTCAAAGTCACTTTATTTTGAGGGCTTTTGGTCGGAGCTGAGTTTGAGCTCCCTCTGATGGGCCTTGCAGTTTTACCTGGGGAAATAAAAGACCCCCCCAAAATCCCCAGAAACCTTCCAGTGGGTGCTGTCTCCCAGCCCCACCTGCCCTGGAACAAACCCAGGGAATCAAACYCAGGTTAATGATGATGTTTGAAAACATTGTGCAAAATGTCATCACCCTTCTCTTGTGTATTTTTAGGTGTCACSCAAAGTTCTGTGTGGCTTTTGTGAGTTCCTGAAAGCCATGTGAAGTAAAAAGTTGGTGTTTACATTTTAAACCTGGGTAATTTTAAGACAAACTCCTGCTATAATTGAATTTTGTCAAATGGAGTATGTTGTAATGGCMTTTTGAGTGGAGTAGAATTAAATAAAACAAAACTGTTTGTAATTGTGCATGTGCAAAACCCCCACACATCCCCCTGCCACTGAATTTRTACTTCACTATGAGATACTCAGTGGTTTTGTGGTTCCTGTTGGCTGTGGAAGAGATCAAAATGTCTCTTTGTACATCCCCAGCTCTGCGTTGGATGGAGATAATATGCAAAACAGTATTTAAAAGCTTAGTTAAATCAGGAATGCTAATCTGCTTTTAAAAATGAGAAACACTAATGATGATGATGATGATACAGAGCTGCAGTGGCTCCTGATGTCTTCAGCAGGTTTTTATTAAATAATGTGATACAAAAGAAATTCCTAATGACGTGAGAGTAGTTTTGAATGTCTGAGAGATATTAAAGAAATGCATCAAAATCAGGACTGAGCCCTCCTAGGATGGAGATTGATGCTTTCAGCTGGCAGCTCAAGTTCACAGTGAGTTTCTCTCCGAACACAAACGTGAATTTTTCAAGCTCTAGAGGGTATTTTTTTATTCATTAACTTSCCCAGATGCAAAGTTTGGATCCCAAATTTGCATATTTTCAGTCCAAGAAATAGATGATTTAGGCACCCACTGMTGGCTCTGATGAATCCCAGGATCACCRAGGTTGGAAAAGCCTCCRAGGCCAKCGAGTCCAACGTGTGCCTGATYCCAGAGCACTCAGTGYCACATCCAGGAATTCCTGGGACTCCAAACCTCCCTGGGCAGCCCCTGCCARGGCCTGACCACCCTTTCCACACAGAAATTCCTCCTGATGTCCAGCCTGAAAATCCTGAGGCGTCTCCTCTCGTCCCTTGAGCTTTGGTGCCATCTCAAAACCTCACCAGGGAGTTTTGGAACCCCAGAGATGCTCCAGGTGCCACCACCACTGGCTGTGACATCGAGCGAGCAGCGCCCTTAATTCTTTGAAAGAATGTTTGTAAATCAGCAGGGTGAGAGGCAGGGGTGACCTGCCAGGGCACAAAGAATCTCTGTTCTTGTGCAAGCCTTGGCTCTCCTCAGGCTGCCTGAGCTGTCCAAGGTAAACACGGGGCCGCCTCTGATGTGCCATCCTGGGAAACTGCAGAGAGCAGGGCAAGGTTTCTGCTGGCAAATCCAGGCACATTTGGTTGGATTTTATTTTATTTTTTTTTTTAAGGAGACAATGACTTTTCACTGATTGTCCCATCACTCCCACACAACACAGCTGCTGCTGGACAAAATCTTTCTGTGTGCAGTGGCCAAATCCCTCGGTGTTAATGGTGTAGCAAAGCTGGGAAAGATCTGGGAGCACGTGAGGCTGAATTGTAGAARTGCTGCATTTTGGGTGCTTGGTTGTAATTCTCAGGGTGAACATGTGGGACTCAGCTCCGGCTGCTGCGTTTTGGTTTTATTTAGCATCAGCACTGGGTGGTAATTTGCATTTATAGAAGGTGCTCATTTAGGAAGAGAATTTGTTCTCAAGGTGAGGTACAGTCAGTTCTTCCCCTCATTTGGGGTTGATTTGGGGTTTTCCCCTCAAAACAAGATACAAAGGTGTTTGTGCAGAGGGGAGCTGGGCCTGTGGTTACACTGCAAARTGTGGATGCTGATTTTCTTGGTTTTCCAGTCAGAAATTGAAATTTGCAGTGCTGCTGTCTTCAGAGRTGATGAGGATCTCTGCGTGTGTAAAACATCACCCCACAAAACATGGCCGCGGCAATTGTGCCTTAAAGTACTTCTCA